CCCCCCCGGCCGTGAGAGAGAGGTATGTGGGGGGGGGGGTGGGGGGGGGGGGGGGGGGGCAGCAGCGTCGTTGACACTGAACAACAGCTCCAGCAGGTGTCTGTGTTTGAAACAGGAAAAGTTCCTGTGAGGCAGGGGATGGGTTCAGTATTGAAGGGTCATGTGACCTCCACAGTGATAACTCTTTTCTGTTAGAGGCTGCTGACACAGAAGCATCACAGCCAAAAAAAAAAAGAATGTCCCAGTGACATGACTGAAACATTTTAAGACAAAATAATAAATCTTTGGTTGTAAAAATATTAAATCTTTTCCCCCTCTTTCTCAGTTTTCAGTGCTGTTTCTATTTGAGAATCCATTCCATGAAGAATTCTGAAGGATGACCTTTGACACCAGGTCACGACCGGCTGCTCTGTCGATTCCTAGAACTGAAATCTAATTCATTTAAAATGTCCTCTCAGTTTTATGGAAAGAAAAACTCAGATGACTCTAGATCAAAAACCGTTAGAAAACCTCAAACCGTTTGAACAGATTTCAATTCCAGTTTGGTTGAAATGTGATGTTTGCTCTGATTTTTAAATTGTTCCGTTGTGAGAGTTGTAAAAAAAAAAACCTGATCAAATAAAACAAAACAGTCAAAAAAAAAAAAAAAAAAAGAGGAACGGCAACACTGGCTGGTTTGTGGAGACAGACTTATTCCCGGGATGTTCCACTAATGGCTACCTCTGTCTCTGTCTGTCTGTTGCAGTGACTCCCTTGGCCTCCGCCTCCGCCTCCGTCTCATGTCTGAGTCCACAACACTACACTTAGGGAGTGAGGAGTAAATGGCTTCTTCCTGATGCAACTTGTCAGGATGAGGGAAAGTCTACAAATTAGGGCTGAGAAAAAAAAAAGAAAAAAGTTTGAAAACATTTACAGCTAACACTCATGTACACACCCAGCCCTGTAAGTGGTGGTAATGTACCTCATGTTTGACACAAGGCACTAGAGCTAACGTTATTAGATAGTATTGGTACAGACACTAAAGCTAACGTTAGCTATGACAGTATTGGTACAGACACCAGAGCTAACGTTAGCTACGACAGTCCTGGTTCAAACAGACCTGATGACAGGGCAACAAAAAAAAAAACTTCTAAAAATGTTGACCTATAACAGCTGTAATTGTTTTGCCAGTTTGTACCAACTTGTGAATGTAGTAAACCGAGGTGAAATAAACTTTTTTTGTCCTTTAACTTCACTTGTTTATCTATTCATTAAGTCAACGGGTCAAAACTTTGCTCATAGTTTTTGCTGTAAAAATGCAGCTGTGATGAAATTGGATTAATCAATGATTAATCATAAAAACCTCAAAGTTCCCGATGATTTTTCTTCTTTTTTTTTTCCTCACTCTCTCCACTTGTACAAATGTGTAGTTTGTTAGTATTCTAGAAACTTCTACATGCTGCTGTCTCTGGGGTTGAATCTGCTCTGTAATTACAGAGGGAGGGGGGAGGAGCGTGAGGGGAGTCAGACATGGAGAGAGAATAGAAAGTGCATGTGAGGAATGTGCTGATGATTGGAGGATGGAGCTGCTCTGCCTCGTTAGTGTCCCAACACTCTGGTCATTAGGCCTTAAAACAGTCTGTGTGGGAGCTTTGTTAAAACTACTAAAAAGGACAAATTCACATTTTTTTTCTTTTTTACTTCAAAACACTCATCCTCAAAAGAAAAAAAAAAAAAAAAGCGTGAAAATCAAGTCCTGACATATTAGTCAACTGAGACGATCAGCTGATTCTGAATCCAACTTCAGCCGACGACATCGACGTAAAACAACGTTTTTGTTTTGTTTTTTCTGGCATTTTCTCCTTCGGCCTCAGATAGAGAAAAATCCAGGAGCCGCAGTGACAGAACAATCAATAGTTGTTATCACACAGGATCTGTCTGAACCCTCCCAGAAAGGTCGGCTCTGAAGTTACTGCCCTTTACCAGAACATCTTTAACTCTGTGTTCTTCAGGAGGCAGGAACCATCATTCACCATCTTCAAATCCATATTACATTTGTTTATTCCCATTTGTACCGTTATTGACGTAGGAACTGACTTCCTGTCTTCCTACAGAGGTACAAACACTCTCTGTACTCATGTAATATGTTTTTTTTTTTTTACTTTTTCAAGTTTTATATCTGTAATTGTTATGTAAATTGTGGCATTTTTGCAACTCACCTTCATTATTTCTCCCCCCTCGGAGTTCTTGGTCTTTATCTCCTCACTGTCCTCCTTTTGGCAGAGAATTTACGGCCTTGCTTGGTTGGTTGATCCTCGCTGCTCCTTGTTGTTTCAAGTCCCAGCAGGCTGCTCCTTCAGTCACCCAACAACAGGTGGAGAAAGTGAGTAACAGGTGAGCGGAGCAGTCGGACATTCCAGAGGTGGAGGAGAGACACGAAGGATCTCTGTGGAAACAAAGGTTTTGTTTTTTTAAATTGGTAAAAAAAATCTCGGTCTACAATAAACTCAACATTAGTCTCATTCTTATTCTTATCCCTTCAGCAGATAGGACCACTGTGGTCAAATTTAAGTCTGACATGCTGTGCCCTCCCTGCAGCAGCTCTACGACCCCACCAGGGCTTCACCCCCCACTTTGGAAACCACTGTTCTAAAGAATGGTTGGAGGGCGAGGGAAGCTGCAGCCCATCTAACACGACCAAATATAGATACAACAATTCACGCTCCCATTCACACCTACGGTCAGTTTAGTGTGAATCCAGTGTGAATTTAGAGTCAATCCCCATAATCCTAGGTGTCTGTGGAATGATAGTTTGAAAAAAAAAAACACAAAAAAACATGTAATATCCACAGAGAACGACTATTTGTAACCACCAGGGATCAAACTACCGATGTTCTGGATGTAAGGCAAGCAAATTAACCACCATTCCACTGTGTCGTCCTTTAAAATAAAGGACGACGAGATAAAGTTAAGTGTTGATATTTCAAAATATCCAGATATAATAGTTTTTCCAGAGGTCAGAGTTTTCAGGTTTTTATAAATGGGATTGTGATTCCAAACAGAGACCACAGATTAGATCCAAATGATCACAAACTCTGCCTTCGTCAGGGATGATTAAACAGCAGCTTCTGGCCACGTAAACACAGGAGCAGACAGTCAGTGGACGTCTGGCCCGTCGATGTGGACGCTGAGATGTTGTGGCGATAGTGAAGTCGGACGCTGCTGCTGCTGCTGCTGCTGCTGCTGCTGCTGCGTACGTAGGATGACGAAACCCAAACCTGTGTCTGCCCTTGGTGCTACCGTGCGCCTGTGCCCGAAATGACCATTTGATCAATGGAGCTGCGGATGCTGTCTGGAGGACAAATCGCCGTGGTAACGGAGCCGGCGTGCTGGACTGTGGCAGAGGAAAGTCTGAGTCACCGTGTTCAATAAAACAGAGAGCAAACAGTGCGTGCGTCAGGGACGGAGGTGCAGCGGCTATAAATGTCAGAAGTATAAAATCTGCAGCAGCCGAGACGAGGGATCATCACAACAGACAGAGACGTCTCGTTAGGACACGTCACGTCCACGTGGAATCACTATCATTTTTGATATGACGCAGGGGTCAAAAGGTCATTTAAAAGGGCCAAAAATAAAAGGGGCCACTGTTAAAATATAAAATTAAAAGTGGCAATTACAAAATAAATTACAAAAGAAAAAATAAATTATTTTTAGTTTGCAGAAGGTTTCACTTTTTTAAATTTTTTAAACAGTATGTTACTTATAGAATGTATTAATATTTTCATTATAATTTGACAATATATTTCTATATTTATTTTCACTATAATTTGACAATATATTTCTATATTTTCAATTTTTTTCGATACTTAAAAATATGTGAGAAATTGTATTTAAGTTTGTTTAGTTTAATGTTTTCATGTGCATTTGTTTAGCGTTGTTTTGTTTTGTCACCCTTTAAACAGAACGAGACTTTTCTGCAGCTTTTCTTCTCACTTGTCGACCTCCATCTCCGCCCTCGCAGCGTTTCCCTTTATTTCCCCGCAGAGTCAATCGAGCGACTGTAAGTTTCTATATCACAGAAATCTCCTTGTTCTGGGTGATGTCGACTGGATCATTCAATCAGACACAGAAATAAAGACAATATATCACATGTCTGTGTGAGGAGCTGAAACCTGTGGGTGGAAAACTCTGCTTTTATGTCACACACCAAGATATTTCAACAGACAGAAAAAAAAACATTACCTTCTGTCAAGCATCTCTATTCTCTGCAGCAGGAAACGGCAGGTTTTCAACGCCTGTTGATTTCTATTAACACGTTGCTCTCTATGAAGAGACAGAAAAATGCGTCAGAAAACACAGCACTCACATGGACTTTTGTGACTTTTATGATTAATTGTGTGGGTTTTTAATCTAGATTGATCACAATTAATCATGATTAACTGTGGGTTACTCTGTTACAGCTACTCTGTGATTATTCACAATTTTAAAAAAGCCAGGGTTTGACAGCTATAATATAATAATAGCTGTTACTAAAATATTAGACTGATTGGAAAAAATTTAAACTGTTTCAATTGCTGTTACTAAAATATTAGACAGATTGGAAAAAATTTAAACTGTTTCAATCACCAAATAAATTCCAGGACCTCCTGCAGTATCTCCGTGATCCCTCTAGGAGTCGCGGACCGCCTGTTGAAGACTTCTGCTGTATGAGGTGGGTGTGTGTGGTCGCTCACATGTCTGATCCTGAAAATAAAAACAGAAAATAGAAAAGAAGCAGTGAACAAGAAATCCCTTGTCAGCATCTGTCATTTCTACTGTTTCTTTTTTCGGTTTTGGAAGACAGGGGGAGCCCTCCTCCTCCTCTTCTTCTTCTTCACCTGTCTGTGATTGATGACTTTGATGGGTTTTTATAGAACACTTTCAGTTTGACTCCTGACTTCAGTGGGTCATTTAGAAGAAAACTTCTATCTTTTCAAATTCCCCCTAACTGCTCACCGTATCGGCTTTTTTCAGGACGCTGAAAAAAAAGCTGCTGCTGAATCTTCCTGCTGCTGAAACTTCCTGCCGCTCCATTTTTAATGAGAAGAGACGGTCACTGCGACTGGAGCTATTACATACATACAGTACATCCATTTCCTGTCAGTACATGTCACGGCATTGTCTTTATTTGATTTGAGGACGCTTCAAATGAACGCCGGCTGCTCTCAGCCGCCATCTGCTCCAACCTCGTTTCATCGAGCACAAACAGGCCGGCTCCATCAGAGAGAAAAGGGTCTTGGCCAAATATTTGCTGCTCTTCGACCCCATTTGGTTTAGTGCGTTGCGTGTTTGCATTTCAATGACCCGCGGTCAGTGTCAGAACGATGGCACGTGTGTCCCTGACGAGCCGTCCCCTGATAAGACGCCAGCAGAAGAGAAAAGGCACCGAGGCCTTGTGGGATAAGAGCAGGGTGAAGGATGGAGCAAATGTAGACAGGCTGCTGGTTCACACACACACACACACACACACACACACACACACACACACAGAAACCAGCTCATACAGCTGCTAAAGTCTCTTGTTTCACCTGTAAAGGAAAAGTTCAGGTTTTTTTTTTCATTTCAAACACGGTCACAAAATGGACTCATTTGTTTCATTTAGATTAAGATAAATGTCTTGTAATAAAATGTTCTTTTTAATCATTCAGGAACAGATTAATACGAATTGATGCAGTTATGAAAAGTACCAAACTTTTCCACTGAGGTCAGTGGTCAACACAGACTCTAGTCTGTCAAACTTTGGTCATTAATGCAGATTTAAACCTGTTATTGTTGTGATGAAAAACAATAATTACAATCCACTATTTACAGTTTTGTTAACATTGTTTTCACATTAAGAAGAACTAAATCTAATCTAATTATTTAGAATGTCATTTGTGTGTTTGATATTTATCTACAGCCCTCTGTTACACTGTTGAATCATTGCATCACGTTTGTGTACTTCTCTAAATCGAAATCTGACCGACAGTTTAGTTTCTAAAGACCAAAGTAATCCAGGAGCCGAGGTTTGTATTGTTGACTGCGTTGAGAAGAATCCAAAATACTTGATTGTAAATTTGATTTCTTTAGTTTGTCGCTCTCTGCTGCCTGGTTTGGCAGTTTGTGTCACAGAAGTCACAGGGGAAAAAAAAACAAATTCGTATTCGATGATCAGAGATGAACCAGATCGACAACTTCTGTGTGATATGACGCTCAAACGCTTGATTTGTTGAACAAGAGATCGAGAGATTGACACAATAAAAAACAAAAAACAAAAACATCGACAAAATTTCGACAGAAAAACTTAAGTACTTCACACCTACACACACCTCCACTATCACTGTCACAACTCGTCCAATGTTCTAACCAGAGTCTGAGAAGAACTGCACCAGGGAACCATTGTTATTCATAGCTGTACTGTGTGAATGACACTCATCAAATAAGTGACACCTCCCAACACGCGCCTCCTCAGCCTGACGAGCTGCAGTGCCTTTAATCTCTGTAAACCTTCTAATTACTGCTCATGCAAATCACTGATCAGAGCATGGCATGGCAATTCCCTTTTAGAGGGTGTGTGTGTGTGTGTGTGTGTGTGTGTGTTTGATGGGGCTATGTGAGAAAAACCTCTACATGTATGGGTGTGTAGCGATGCTTCTTTTTTGATTTGCTGCAAATATGGAATTATCTGAGGAGGACTGGAGCGTGTGGATTAGGCAGAGAGAGATTTTTCTACCAAACACGGACGCCCTACGTGTAATTCATTTTGGCGTCCTTGAAATTGCTACTGTGAGAAATTAAGCAGCTGCAGCACTGCTAGAAACCCACACACACACACACACATATCCCACCACCAACCCCCTTAAACCCACCCACGCCCACTCCCACCACTACTACCAGGCTTTTCTGCAGCATGACTGCATGAAAGCCGTTGGAGGTGTGAAGGAAATAGTTTGGTTTTTGCTATCGTCTGGTTGTAGAAATACAGCAAATATTCAGGTCTTTGTCAGGACTGGCAGATAGAGCCCCCCCTCCCCCCCCCCCCCCCACTGTGAGAGAGCATTAAAGGGATGGTACGCCAACATCAAGCTCTATCATCCCCGATTAATGTGGAACTATTTTAGTCAGTACTAGTTGTGGTTGCTGGTATGTGAAACCTGGCATGTTGTCTGCACAACGATGGACAAATAAAAAATAAATGTAGGTCAACACTGTACAACAGGCTGAACCTCACGCAGGAAAAAGTGGTTCCCAGACTGTTGGTCCAGTCGTCGTGCAGAAGTCTTCAAAACTGGACTTGACCCAACTTGTCCCGACAATTTAAAAATGATTGCTAAAACTTGGGTAAAAAAATAGTTCAAATATGAGGCGGATAAAAGTTTGCCTTTGATATGATAAAAATATATTTAAAGATGAAAACCACCTTGAATATTACTCCAGTCTCTAACAAAAGGCTGTGATGTCAGTTTGTGAAAATGAAAACCACCTTGAATATCTAACAAAAGGCTGTGATGTCAGTTTGTAAAAGTTCAACTCGGCTGAAATGGGTTGGTTATTAAACACAGAATCAGCTGTTGAAGCTCAGCTTCAGTGGACTTTTTTTTTTCCCCCGTGGGGGCTGGATTCTGGATGCTGATTGGACAGATTTGGGAAAGTTGGGCTTCTGCCTGACAACTGGACAAACAGTCCAGGAAACACTTTTGGAACCTGTTCCAGAGGTGAAAAGTCTTCAAGAAACCTACCCCGTCCAGTTGCCCTCGATGTTACTATTCTTAGATCAGATGATCTGGACGACTGAGAACCTACACTTTTTTTCTGATCTTTAGACACATGAAGGTTCAGTTCTGGACCTCCTACTGTTCTGTCAACATTCTAATGCTCTGCTACATTAAAAGATTAACTCTGAAAGTGGTAATGTGACGTTAGACTTAACACATGGGGCTCATGTGAGCCGCGTTGTGAGTGTGACAAAAGCGATTATTCCGTAATTACGACCTCATGAACTAATTAACTCTCTGTGGTAAAGAATAAATGCTTTGTATGTGCTGGCAGAACTGGATCTGCATTTACGTCACTTAGCTTTAGCTTATTAATCTTGGCAGAAAAATTCAAGTCACTCAAACAGAGAGTGACTCAGCTAACAGAC